TAGCTTAAACTAACCGAGATTCTGTGCAATTTTAATGATTTCACGCTTTTTTGTTATCGATTATCAATGACTGTTTTTTGCTGTAATTTTCTTTTTTTGTCAAGTTTGTGGTTTTCCATGTGAGTCAAGTCAGTTTTGCATCTTAGTCAGTTTTGCAGTTTCCTGATAGGAGAGTGAGGAATGAAGGGGAGGAAGGAAAGGGGAGAGGAAGGGGGTAGAGGGACAGCTGTAAAAAAACTGAATTTCGGGTCTTATGGACTGTGTTTGCCAGCACTGCTCATTTCTGTTGTTTCGCTCATATCGTAGAAAACTTTCTTGATTTGGATTGATAGAAACAGCAAAACTTTGCACTCTATAACATATATATCGTAAATTGGCATTTTGTGTAGTTCAGTGGTTTAGGAAAAGTTATCATCTTACTCTTCAGTTGTTTGATCAAAAACTGAAAGAAATGGAAGGCCGATCTTTCCCCGTTATTTGTTTTAAAAAATACGAAGGCCCATTTTGAAAATATTCGCTGTTTTCTTTGATCTCGTTGTCAGACGCGTGGTACGATGCCTTTCGGAAGCAAAATTTTTGTAGGAGGTCGTGAAATAAATAATAGTATTTTGTTTAATTATAATTTGCCTTTAAAAGTTTTTTCGAGAAAATACTGTTCTTTTGTTTCATAGATATCTAACTTTCTTCACCTCATCCAAGAAAGCTGAGCAGTGGTGCTTTTTTTGTCTGATTAATTGTTTGCAGACATAAGTGTCGAATTGTTGCTCAGGCTCGCCAGATGCTTTCCGAATGTCGAGACGCTGCACATGGAGGGCTTGAGGCAGGTAGGTCTTCCTGTATGAGACGTTAACAAAAAATTAATACTTAGCCAGCTACATTCGTCAAGGTGGTCAGGATATTGTGGACACTGGAAAATGGTCATCTGTGCACTTTCTTCACTTTCAAATGCATCTTGTGCTTCTTTTTCGTTTTAATAGTAATGGAATTTATCATTTTAGTGTTCCGATAAAGCTGATGCATGTGAACAAGGCGATAGCAACAAATGGTCGGAATTCATGAAAGTGTTGTTCGG